CAACCCACCACATTATGCTAAATAATTCTCACAAGACTCAACCTGGTTGCTGGTGTCTATGTCAGCTGTGAGATACTGTTTCTAGGACAGAACAGTGCAGGAGAATGTGCCTAAGGAAATATGCATTAAGAGGCAGGGAAGTGACAGTGCTGTGGTCCATGAAAACCAGTGAAAGCTTACAGCTCATGCTTCTCCTGTGTTGGACATAACTGTGCAGTCTAGCAAGCATCTAGCAGGTAGAAATGTACTGTATGATAGCTTTGAAAGTGTTGTAAGTCTAATTAGTGACCAAAAAAGTCTGTAAAAGTCCATGTTTCTAGTCCTCCCTAAAGTCAGGGTGAAATTGGGGTGCCTATCACAGAATGGGTATGATTTTTGTTTCTGCTGAGTGTGACTGCTGAAATACCTAGTTATGGCTATGTTTGATCAGACCTTTGCCAAAAAGGCAAGCATGTAATTCCAATGGGGAATCCTATTTTCCTTTCCTTTCTCCTGGTCTCACAGAAAGGATCTTCATGCTTTGCTATGGTTCTTACCCATTCAAGTAACCTGTAAGGCAGGGATTGTGAACACTCCGTATGGCATAGATTCTGATAAAAATGACTTGTTTAGTCCTGGGCTATGTCAGTACATTAAGCTATATGTATAGAAGCATTCAGGTTCTAATTTTGTATAATTATTCCTTATACTTGAAGCAACATAAACTTGAGGGGGTTTATAACTTTTCTTTCAGAAAAGACCTTTATTGGTTCAAATACTATGTCAAAGGTAAAAACTAACACACTATCTTGGAAGTTATAGGGTTCCCTTCATGCTGAATTAAATTAAATTAAGAAATTCAAATGATGTTAAAGACTGGTAAATTACTGTTTGTTTGGGGGTTTTTAAATATCTTACTTGAAGGAAAATTCTGGATTGTATTTTGTTAAAATGCAACATGTTATGTATATAGCTCCAGATAACTTTAAAAAAAAAAAAATCCCATGGGGGTGCTGAAAAAATGAAATATCATACTAACAGTGTCTTATAAAGCATGATGTTCTGGCAGAGACATTTTGTAATGTACTATGCAGGGAAGATTGGAAAGGTATAATTTCCAGATGAAAAACTGAAAATGTTTATCATTTTCCAGCTCTGTGTGGTCTCTTTGGCATTGTTCAGAACGCTCATTGGCTTGCATTGCGAAGATGTGATGTTACAGCTAGTTTTAAGGTAAAACTCAAACTCCTTCTTCTGCTCTTCACCCTAATTCTGGGACATTCAGTCTCTACCTATGGATGCAGAGCTAGATGAGAGTTCTCCAAGAGAGCAGAAATCCAAGCAACTACAGAGAGAATAATATTTATGATCCTGACAAAAGTCTACCAGACCTGAAGAAGTGTGATTTACATCCTGTGATCTTCAGGAGCAAGAGATTTTTCTTGTGATTTATTTCTATAAAAGTGAGAGAAGAGAAGCTAAGAATATATTTATCACCTCCAAACTGCTTATTCCCTGCTCCTAAATGTATAATTCTTCTCTCCTGCATGTTTTCTCTAGTGTACTGTACACTGTGAAACAGAGCTATATACTTGTTTGCAGCTTCCACCTTCTTTCTTGTTGTTTTCCACCTCTTTGATTCCTCTCTCACCAAGAGAGGTTCCTGAACTGTTTTAGGTAGATTGTTATGTAATGTACTAAATACATTGATTATTTTTGCTTTTAACTGATGGTTCTATGCGTTGCTTCAGAATACTCACAATTTTGGAATGTGTACTAGATGAGAATTGATTATTTGTTCGGAAATATTGGTGTCACTAAATCGGGCTTTTTAGCACTGTAGATCACGTGAACGTTTCGGATATTGTCTGTCCCTCCACCCACAGGCATTAAGGTGAAATTCCTTGTAGCTCGGGGTCTTGTGTCTGGGAATGCTCTTAGGACCTCTGTGAACTCAAGTATGTTGCCAGTCTAACAGCAGTAGAGTGCTGTATTTGATCTTCTTTTAGTTTATGTAGAGAATTCTTTAGAATTTGTTTGCATTTTAAATGGCAAAATATCAGTCCAGTTAACACTGATGCTTTTAATAAAGCACTCTTTAAAAAAGTCGAACAGCAGTGCTCTGAAGAAGTTCCACACAACTCTGCTTCCTCTATTCCTTGTACTCCCCATAGCTTATACCCTCCTCTGCCTGAGAGCTCAGTCTTTATCTAGTGCAGTAGAACACCTTGATGACCCTTTCCTCCTTTTTGCTGGCTGCTTGCCTGACACATGTAAACTGGCGCTCTCTAGATTTCCCAGGAAAACAAATAAATAAAGGATTCCGAGACAGAACTCATTCATATTGGGACCAACCACGCTGCTGGCCTTTGACATCTGCCCATCCCACACTTCCTCTATCCCTTCTGACAACAAATTTGCTCTGACCTGCAAAGGATTGTTCACTTCCCCATTCTGATACAACTGATCTCCTATCTCTAGTCATCTTGACAGTTCCTCATCAAACTATAGCTTCACAATATAAAGAGTCAGTGTTTCATGCTCTTGAGAGGTTCGGACTATGGATCACTGTCAAGATTATTATTACTGTTTCTTTTAATTTGGAGAGGACAGGAAGGTGGGGAGGGAATTCTGTATGTTGTTGCTTTCTCTGACATGAGAGGACAATGAAGTAATGCTAGACACTGCCGTTTCAGGTATCTGATTCCATGTAACCACATGATGTTGAGCCAGCGGTGGGCTGTGAAAGAGAGAGACTGTTATTCTGTATCTGCTGCAAAACTGCTTGCCCTGACACCAGTCTGCTGCTCCACTGGGATCACCTTGACACTTGAAAGCCAAGGAAAAGATTATATTCTATGGACAAAAGCAGCACAAACTAAAGGTAATTGGTGCTCCGGGGAAGATTGGATCATGAACTGAGTTTAATTTGGCAGCAGCTCATGGGAGGAGGTGGGGAAGGATGGGAGGGGGAGGAAATGTGGTGGGCAACAATAAACTGGGCAAGCATGGACTGGAAAGCTTATTTAATTCCTTCCATGCATCCAGGTCTATTGAAACATTATTTTAACAGCTATCCAACTTGAATATGCATTCATGAAAGTAATGTACAGATACATGACTGCAACTCTTGCTGCTTCAGAGTGGTTGCTGTTGTTTTAAGGTTTGAATGCAGGTTGGTCTCTCAGAAGTCTTGAGTTACAGCTCTGTCTTGGCAATAGGAACAAGTCATGTATGTTTATGAGCAAATATCTTAATCTTTATGCTGTGGTCTTCCTGTGTTATTGGATGGTTGGGACTAAAGACTCTACCTACCATGTCTTAGTAGCTGCCTTGCTAGAGAACTTTTGGGTTGTTTTATTATGTCATGGTATGAGTAATCTCCTTTACTTTCAGATTCTGGTAGACGCTCTTCTGAATCTGCTTGCATTGTGGAATATGGAAGAGCTGTGGACATCAGCTACTTGCAGTACCTGGGGGAAGCTCAAGAAGCCATCCTCCAGTGTCTGAAAGATTGTAAGGTTTGGTCTGCCTTGTATGATGGAGTAAACCCTGATCCAGACACCTTTATCCAAACGCTTGCTGAGGAGAACAGTACAGATGTGGAACACCCCATGTTTCAGCTCCAGCAAAGGACACCTAGCATGTGCAGCTCCACTCAAGTAACTCCATTCAGTGAGAAGATGCAGTTGGAGCTAGAATGGGATGATAGCTATGACACAGGGATTTCTCCTGGTTCTGATGTGAGTTCACCGCAACCGTATGATGATATGGGAAGCACAGAGATGCAGCCACCTGCAGAGCCACCAAAACACATTCAAGAAATGAAAAAAAATGCCATCATGCTCGTCAAAGGATCTTACATAGAGGAATCAGACTTTCAGGATGATGTTATGGTTTACAGGTTATGTGCCCAGAAGGATACTCAAGACGATTGTAACTCCAAGGAGAAAACTTTAAATGTAGCCAGAGAACATAAGGTCCAAAGCCAGACTGTAGTCAATGGGCATCTTGCAAAGAACCAGCTGGAAATGGACTTGGATGAGCACAGTAAAAGAAACTCAAGCTTGACTCAAGGTGTAATGAAAGAACAAACCAACCAGAAAATGACTGAGAATGATCCACAGCCAGATTTTGAGTTGAAGCTTTCTCCTCAGGAGGCAGATCATAACTTAAGTGTAAGACTGCTGAGCACAGATGGTGAGGATTTCATTGCACAGTATGACAAAATTATTAAAGAACTGGATCCAAACAGTGCAAGCTTGGAGGAGCAGAAGTTGGATACTCCTGACCCTGTCTCTCCTGCGGAAGAGGAAGAGGACTTTGAGAATTTCTCAGCAGACACCCCTTCTGCAGAGAGCATGTCATCGCCCTTTGGACCAAAGGAGGATGTCTCTCCCAAGCATGCTGCGAGGAGCCAGAGTGCTCCATTTACAGGTGGAATGTCCTGTTAATTATGTACATAACAAATACAGGAAGGCATGGTCATTAAAGGTGGCGGAATGAGATCACGCTGTGCAGAATACAGCACATAGAGCCAGGAACAGTTCTGGCACTAAAAAGGGTATAGCCCAAATAGCTGAGACTGGTCCAAGGAGAGTGAGAGATCCAACGTGAAAGAGCAGAGCAATCAGTGTGGTGACAGCAAGTGGTGGTTGCTCAGGGGCTTTTTTGTCTGCTTTTTTTGGTAATTGTTTAAAATCTTGAGCAGGGGTTACGTTGTTTGTATATCAGAGCTCCATAATTCTAGGGAAAGCCTTTTCAGTTGAAAGGAGACTGGAGTAACTGTTCTAATACACAGAGCCCAGGTAAATAATTTGTTTTTCTGGTGGCTTTCATCTTTGATGCTATGGATGTGGTATCTCGTTGCCATTTTTTTTTTCCCCTCTCTGCTATTTCACGTTTTAGCAGGAGGTGGCAGCACTGGTGCCGTGTCTGTACGTGCCTGTCCCCATGCTCTGCCCTGGCATCCTGTTCCTCCAATGTCAGGTCTGCCCTCGCTGTTGGTATGCTTTTCTGTCTTGTGCCAGGCAGCAATTTAAGCTTGGTCTCCGCAGACTATCCAAGCCATTCAGGAATGACAGTGCCACTGGAGGTTAGAGTGGGCTTTTGATCTGTATTTGTACAGCTCCTTGCACTGTGGACTCCTGATCTTTAATTAAGTCTCCTAGATACCACAGTAATGCAAATAAAAAAAAAAAAAATTTATCTAGCTTTCCTCATCCAAAAAAGAAAAAAAAAGCTTCTATAAGCTGGCTTCTCTTTCATTTGAAAGAAGGGGGAAAACATTCATTTGTGTCCATTGAAATGCAGGCCTTTCTGGTCACCTGTGGCCAGCATGCCCGGCACAGTGTCTTAATTGAAAAATTCAGCCTGTTTTCCAATCAATTTGTTATTTTTGCTGTGGTGGCAATTTCCTCATACCAGAAGCTAATCACATTCAAACCTTTCTGTTTCTCATTATCTACTGTCAAATGTAGCTCAAAAATGTTGTCCTTGTCATTCTTCATCCAGTCCCTCCCTCCATTTGTTCCTTTCAAAACAAACAACAACCAAAAACCCCAAACCAAAACAAAAACCCCCCCAAAACCTCAACAAACCACCAAAACCCACCCCCTCCACCCCCCAAAAAAATACCCTCAGCTGAGCAAAACAAACAAAAAACCCCACAAAAACCCTTGCTGTTTGCTCCCCATCCACAACATGTTTTACTCTTAAGCTGTTTACCTTGCTTTGATGGAGATCTTAGTGATTGCAAGTAAGGAGATGTGCTCATAACAATAACTCAGGAATGTTGAGATTACAGTGTCTTTCAAATATAATATATTTAATTTAAAATGCTGTATTATGTTTGTAGATGTGTATGATAAGGATTTTAGGTTGCTTTCACTGCTTTGGAATGCTGTCATGGGATGGGGCTTCTCTCTGCAGAATCAAATAACCAGACAGAGGTTTCCACACCCAGTAAGGGTCAGCAGTGCAAAGATGCTCTCTTCAGGCCTGTGGATCTATGAAGAAAATGTTCTATTGGTGTCTATGTCCAATTTTAAAGCATTAAACACTATCATCCCTATTTTCCCCTGAGCATCCCTGTTTTCCTGAGGTGTTCAGGAACAGGAATTTATATGCTGCCACTCCCCCTTCCCCCCAAAATCCGTACTTGACTTCATGGCCACATAGAGATGCACAGTCAGGAAAGGAATAATTCTTTTACTTCTCATCTGTTTACCCTGTTTCTTACAAGGCTAGCAAACTCTGCTTAGTTCCTCAGATTCTCATTCCAATAATTTCTTAGGGGAAAAAGTTGCTCTACTACTGAGAAGTTTTTTAATATATCTTGGTGACCTCTCTCGCAGTGGCATACAGCACTTGTAACTAGTAATAGCTTCAGCTTTAACTACTCAGCTTTGAAGTCTGACCTAGAGGAGAGAAATAGTGATATATCTCAATTTCTTCTCCTGCAATCCCTCTTGATACAGTAGAGCTCCCACTGCGCTGTGGTCCTCAGGAGCTCTGTGAAAATGTCTCCATGAACGTGAGAGGGGAAGCAGTAGGTTATGTTGGGACAGGAGGAACTGTATCTCAGCAGAAGGTTCGGGGGCTGCTCCATTGGGTACCTAGGCAGGATGTGATACCAACCTTCGCTCTGATGGCTGACATGGTGGTTGAAAGGTAGCAGCTGCATAAAGCCTTGTCAATGCTGGCCCTCCTACTTTTCCTCTTGTGAGTAGAGCTGTGCTAGCATTAGCTGTGACAGATGAGTCTCGAGGGAGTGCTTGCTTTGTACTCACGGTAGCTATAAAACATGATAGACTTCAACCTGTAGTGAAGTTCTGCTAGGTGAAGTGGTGACGCAGGCCCTTCTGATTTGATCCTTACTGTTGCGCTGGCCCAGAATTGCTTTAGCCTCTGCCGTAGTTTACAGCGGGCATATTAAACTGGGCTAAACTATGCCCAGGTAGGTTGAATGGCAGCCATTTGCTAGCTGAAGGGAGCTGGAATGGGGTCAGGTTATCGCCACTTGCTTGACCCTAGAAATGCCTGTGGCATGCATCTCGTGCTGGGGACGAGGGTGGGATGTTCAAAGCTAGCAGTGCGGTAACCGTCACCCGTGGATTCTTCTGCATGGTTTCCCTAGCTTTTATGCAGCCAGAACATTGTGGTGGGACTAGGTGTGGGACAAGGGCAGTTTCTTAGACTTTAGTTGTGATGTGGTCACTCTTACAGACTGCCTCAAGCATCTCACCAGCGGTATCGCCTATCAGTATGTAGTATTTGGTTAAAGTCACACTCAGCCTTGCAAAGGTTTCTTAAGCTTGAGCACTAAGGGTTTGTGTACTTTCATGGTAAATACTTCTGTATTTCAGTGGTTATCCTGCAGCATGAATACACAAACTAAAGCTATTATTTATTGGTGACATTTATATGATAAAGCCTATGTCTACCAATAATTTTGCTTATAAATCTATTTTAATGTCTTCCCCGCTTTGTGTGACTGTTTGCAGTACTGAAAATGCCTTTTCTTGTGACATGAACTATCACAGGTTTTGATTTTTATGTTTAGAGTAGCATTTTCATATTTTCTTTAGAACACCACAGTCTTTAGATTTGGCAAGAAAGCTAGCTGTAATTTACTTTGCCCAGTCCTTATGTAGAAATAAGCCACAAGAAGAGTAAAAAGGACAGATTCTGTTCGCATTGAAGCTAGCGATACCATTCCAATTAACTTCAAGGGGAATAGAACAGTAGACCATAACAGACTAAATCCTTATTGGCACATGTAAAGTAGAATAGTTGTGCATGTTAAATATGCCATTAATATAAACTCATTGGCTAGCTAGTAAGAGTGCTTCTACTCACGAAAGCTTTTAACACCTCTGTTAATTCTGTTTTGTCTGTTCAGATACAGTTTGGTTTTTCTCCCTGCTGGCTTTAATTAGCATGTGGGAAGTCTCATTTGGTTGGTTATAGTGATCAAAATTCCTTTTAAATGCCTGTTTCCTGGATCTTAGGATTTTTCTTCTGTGAAAACAAAAGCATTTGTTCCTTCTTCTTTTCCTGCAGGGCCATTCATCAGTGTAGTGTTGTCGAAGCTGGAGAACATGCTGGAGAATTCTTTGAATGTAAATTTGCTGCTTATTGGGATTATTACTCAGCTCGCAAGTTATCCACAGCCTCTTCTTCGCTCCTTTCTGCTCAATACCAACATGGTGTTTCAGCCTAGTGTGCGGTCACTTTATCAGGTATTTGACCACAAGCGTTAGTCATGCCTTATTGGAACAGTATTTTTAGTGTCTCATTAAACCTTACGTTAGCTCTTTTCAGTTCCACCTGTTGCTTTCCCACCTGTCTGAGAGCTTCTCATCTCATTTTGATGTTTTAATTACACTTGTGCGAAGAACTGGAAATTCTGTATGACCGTAACTTTTGTCGTAACTCTATTTTAATGCACCTAGAGAAAGCCTGAGCATTCAGTCTGTGGCTGTACTGGGAGCAAGGGAGGAAGAAGTAATTGTTACTGTTGTTTTGGCAGGTGCTGGCATCTGTGAAAAATAAAATTGAACATTTTGCTTCCATTGAAAAGGACTTCCCAGGCCTTCTCCTGGAGGCCCAACAGTACTTGCTTTTTCGTGTGGACATGTCTGGTGCTGCGGAAGAATTGCTAACCAAAGGTAAATGTTAACCACACTCGGAGGAGTGCTGGGTGGAATGACTCACTAGCTACCTCCTCTCATTTTCTACAGAATGATTAAAAGTAGGTGCGGTGCGTTGTGAATACCATTAACCAGGTGTACCCTTCTGACTTGAAACTGATGAGGCTCAGTGGGCCACAGTATATGCATCTATTTGGATATTCTTTGCTCTTTAGAAGCTTTTATTTGCTACTGAAAATGGCTGTTTAAAGGAGTAACAAAATCAGCTCTTGGCTCGCTGTCAGTTTGGCCGTAAACAAACTTGCTTTCAAGGCATGAGGTGAGATGGCATATGTGCATGATTTCATTTTATTTTTAGCCTGACCTTCAGCTAGTCATTGGTTCTTTTTTGATAAATGTTAGGGAGGACAGAAGTGCAGAATGAATTGCTTTCTGCAACAATTGAATAAGGGCTACTACTGAAGGAGATAGAGATTAGCCAGAAAACTTTGTGCTTTCTTGAATGAAAAACAAAAAAAACAAAAAAGGGATGGGTGGGGGGTGTAAAAGCCAGGACACTTCAAGAGCAGTGGGGAGTTAAGCAGGTATCATCCCAACATGCCAGCTTTCCAGGGGACTTCTGTAACATCTGCTGCTTCTCAAGCACAGTGTGTGCTATGCCTGTCTTGACAGTTACCAGTATTTACATTGCTGTGGGGGAAGCTAGTGAAAATAAGCAAAATGAAGAATCTTACATTTTAAGAACTTTCCAGATGCAGCCAGGCAACTGGTAGAGTTGGGGCCCTCCCCTGGGGATGTGCTTGTTCTCAGCTTGCTGCTGAGCAGGTAATGTTTGGTGCAGGTTTCCCTTAGAAGCCAACTTCCCACATGATGGGGATGTTGAATTTGGTGAAAGCAGTTACTGCAGTGATTATGAGCTGATTCAGCAGCAGGGTTCAAGAGAGGCTGCATTTACAGGTGTGTGCTTACTCATCATTGGGAGTCATTAATAATCACCCACTCTGCCTGATGTTTTCTTGGATTTTCAGAGATGTGGAAAACAGGACTTTTTATGTGCTACTTTAATTGTGTTTTCATTATTCAAGGCTTTGAATAATAATTTACCTAGTTTCCAGGCAGCACAATATGTGTTTCTAAGGTTGACAGAACCTCTAGTCTGTAAAATTACGACCTTGCTAAGGCTGCTTCTCGAAGAATTAGTCTGTAGAAGAGCCTGCTGTAAAGGAGCTGTATATTGCAAATGTTGGTAGCGTTTTAGGCTCTACATTGTGGTGAGATTAGATGGTATTGTAGCTAGCATGTGGGAGATGAGATTAGGAGGCAACATTTAGTGTCCTTTTTCCAGGTGCTGGCAATAAGAACTTTTATATAATGCTTTCCCAATGACATTTATTTATACTTCCTATTTTACGTCAGTTTTCTTCTGTGGGCTTCAGAATTTGCCAGGTTGACTCATGCTGGTCATTATTTAGGAATTTGAAACAAGGCTGCTTAGTCATCCTCTTGGTACATTTTCTTCTGTGTTGTGGCAACTCCTGCAAAGAAGGCACCTCTTGACAAATAGAGAGTAAATAAATGTCTGGCTAACTGCAGACTTGGTTCCCAATGAAACTGGTGATGCAAGTAATCACAGTAATTCTGGGGGCAAGTTGGCTCAGTAGTCCATCAACCCACAGTATTTCATTATATTGATTAAGAAGTGCAAGGTAGGAACTGCGGCAATATATATAAATGAGGAACTCCCGTAGGATTTCTTTGCATTAGCTTGAACACCACCTTTGAGTTTCCAGGCAAATTAGCTGTTCTCTGAGGGGTTTTTTCCCAAAACAGAAGTGGTGAATAACCCCAAAGTTGTCTCTGCAGGTCTAGGCAAAACTGGCCGCCTACAGAATTCGCATCTGAAAAATGGAAGCCAGGCTTAGTGGGGAACAGAAATGTAAACCCGAAATATTCCAGAGCATTTCTTTCTCTTGACAAGCGATGGTCTCTGAAGGTGTTTGAGCAGAAATGGACGATTTGTTATTTTCTGCTTGCGGTAGTATGTGGTTTCCTGACACAGTAGCTTGGGTTCTGGTTAGATATGTAGAGCTGTCATGATGTAGATCCCATATGAAATACTACCCTTCTTTCAGTGCATTGGTAACAATATCTCCAGGGTACTCATTTTCTCAGTTTCTCAATTGTATGATTCTGTTTGCATCCTGACCCTAGAAAGAAGTAGAAAATCCTGGTCAAAGAAAAAAAAATAAAATCTCTTGTCCCTAGACCAGCTTTTTTCTTTTCTTCTTTTTTGCTAAGCAGTTAAAACTAAATCAAAATGTTTTTAGGGAAATGTATCAATTTCTATGCTTTTTGAAGGGAAGAGTTAAAAAAAAAAAGCTTTGACAGTGCACTAGCATTTGGTTATATTGGCTAAACTATTTAAAAAAACTTAAAATATTAATTATGAAACATGTTGATGTTAGAAAACCTAAAAAAAAAAAAAATCTTCAAGGGAAGCTCAAAACTTTATCTTCTCATTGTAATTCATAATTTAAGTTGGTTTTCCTCCCACAGTCAGAATTTTCCACAGAACTGAAATTCCTGTACTCTGTGTCTAGTAGATAAAAATTTGTAGAATAACAATATGAATGATTGATAAGTGTGGAGTTGGAAAGGTTTTTTGAAACTCAAGAAAAGTACAACTCTGTTAGATGATTAAGATGGAAATTTCTTTCTAGTATTTGGAAGCGTACAGTAATTCCACAGTGCCTTAGGAGAACTACAGGAAAGGAACAAAAATGCAGAGCTGTTGAACAGCGGGATCGCTCTGCTGCGTCGAGCGAGCGAGGCATTCATCTGTGGGTCCTCAGTTAGCTACTTGTAGAGGTTTCAGAGAAAGGGTGGTGTAACCTGAGACTGAGTTGTTTTAACATAAACCGCATCCATGTCAAGGGAAACATCTTAATGCCGCCATGTGGCATTTGGCTTATCTGCAGTATGTGAGTTAATATGGCAGTGCTTTTTT